TAAGTGTTGGGGCCTCCCCTTGTTGTGGCCAGGACTGCAAGGGCCCTAGTCTTTACTTTCATTCACCCAGGTTTCCTCAGCCTCCCACCCACACGCCAGGCCCGGCACTCAGTAGATGCTCAATAAATACATGCTAATCCCACCGCCTAGCAGTAACTTTCTGAGACTCTGCTGGCCTCGTCCCCAGCCTCCGGGAGGACCCCTGAGGATGCAGTGTGGCCAGAGGGGATCTCGCCAGGGCCAAGGTTGTTGGGCAGCGTCCACGAGGAGCGTTGCGGCTGGTGGTGCAGCTCCACCCCAAGGTTGCGGTGCAGGAGGCAGCGGTGCCACCCTCGGCGGATCTCCGACTGAACCTGAAAGGACGATTAGGCTCAGATCTGGCACCCTGCGGGTCGTTCCCTAGGCTGCCGCCAGAGGTCCAGAAGAAGGTTCCCTACCTCCTTATTGATGAAGCAGTAAAGGACGCTGACCAGGAAGCCCTGTCAGAGGGGATCGGAGTTAGATCGGAGGTGGGCACGAGATCCACATGCCCAGGGTGCGCTCTGATTGCACTGCGCAACCCACCACCTTGTCCTGGTTGGTTGCCCGGGCCCACTTGTTGGTTTCAACTCCCCTGGGCCTCAGTGTTGGTCTCCCAGCAGGATTGAGCTGTAAGACCACACTCACCAACACTCACCAACTTGCAATGGCCAGGCCTAGCCTCAACTGGCTCCTCTGCAGGGCTGTACTGGGTGGGAGTGAGGAGCAGGAGAGTCCAGGTAAACTACGTACGTGTGAAACCCACTTCCGCAAGCCGCTCAGCCCCTCCGTGCCTCCATTTCCTCCTCTGGAACATGAGATGCTAAGTGTGTGGTGGCTGGTGGCTGTGAGGGTGAATTGAGCTATTCTTCGCCTAAGGAGCCTGGTGGATCCATCCAGTTGCTCTTACCTTTATGGGAGAGGGACCCAGGAGACCTGATCTTGTAAAATGACAGCCAAGAAGCAGTTCTGTCACATAGGGTCCCTGGTGTGTTGGAATGAACTCAGTGACGCCCATAACAACATGAGCTGCAGTGCCAGGCATGCCACCCTAACTGTCATGAAGTTGTCATATAGCTACCCTGTAGGACAGGGTCGGACTATCTCTGTGGGTTTCTAAGACTGTAACTCTTTATAGGAGTAGAAAGCCTCATCTTCTTCCTGTAGAACAAATGGTGTACGCGAACTGCTGACCTTGCGGTTAGCAGCCCAGCATGTAACCACTATGCCACCAGCGGTTTTATGTCAGATATCTAACGTTTCCCCTACTCACGTGTCTCCACGTGTGCTTTTCACAGGGTTTCCAGTGGTCATGAGCTCTCTTCCAAGGTGTCTCTGGATGGACTTGAACTGCCCACCTTTCTGTTAGCAGCCAAGCACCACACAGGGCCTCACTCCCAATTGTATTATCGCTCACCACAGCCTTGTTACAGTCAACCTCCTATCACACAGCCCTCTGCTCAGACCCCACCCACAGCTCCCACCTCACTGAGGGTCAAACCAAAGACCTCCCCATCTGCCCCATCCTTACATCTCCTCCTACTCCTACTGAGTCCCCTGCTGCAGCCCCCACAGCCCCCTTGCAGTTCCTCAGTCACACCAAATTGCATCTCAAAACCCCCCCAGACTCACTGCCATTGAGTCTAACCTGACTCATACAGTCCTATAGGGCAGAGTAGAACTGCCCCTCTGGGTTTCTGAGACTAACTCTTTATGGGAGTAGAAAACCTCATTTTATTTAGTAAGATTTGGTAGGTGTTTTTTTGTGTCTGGGAACGGTTAATTATATATATATAATTAATAAAAGAAAACCTCATTTTTCTCCTGTATATATATATATATATATAATTAATAAAAGAAAACCTCATTTTTCTCCTGTATATATATATATATATATATAATTAATAAAAGAAAACCTCATTTTTCTCCTGTATATATATATATATATATATAATTAATAAAAGAAAACCTCATTTTTCTCCTGTATATATATATATATATAATTAATAAAAGAAAACCTCATTTTTCTCCTGTAGAGCAGTTAGTAGTTTCAAACTGCTGACCTTGTGGTGAGCAGCCCATTGTGTAACCCACCACACTTTGCAATTTGCTATTCCACTTCCTGACGCCCCCACCCCTTTCCCCCATGTCGCTCTTAAAACAAACTCACCGCCACTGAGTCAAGGCCAACTCACAGTGACCTCCCTGTGGGTTTCTGAGACTCTGCCTTTCTCCCGCAGAGCGGCTGGTGGTTTTGAACTCTGACCATGTGGATCCCAATCCAACAGGTCACCACTAACTACACAACCAGGGCTCCCATGCCTCCCTCAAGGAGGTTCCTATGGGCCTGTCTCAAGCAGGAACTCCATCCTTCCTGCCTTGGGTCAGTCAGCTCATCTATGTGCCATTCGACATTCTGTCCATTTTACTTACGTATTACCCTATTTCTCACACACCCACGTGAACAATTCACTTCCCCCTCGTGTACAGCACGCATACATAGGAAGCTAGTCCAGGTGTTTTTTATGTGCACATAGTGTGTGTACTGTCTGTTTCTTCCACTAGAGGGCAGTGAAGGACCTTTCTCTGTTTGGTCCTTGCTTAGCCCCCTGCCCTCCCAGTCACCTTGAAGTTTGCTAAGCGCTTAGTACCAAAGCCAAACAAATCTGCTGCCACCTAGTCCATCCCCACTCACAGCGACCCTTACAGGAAAGGGTGGAATTGGCCCTGTGGGTTTTCCAGCCTGTGACTTTATGGGAGTAGGAAGCCTCATCTTTCTCCCTAGGAGCTGCTGCTGGTTTTGAACTGCTGACCTTGTGGATTCCCAGGCTCAATAAAATTTTGCTGAATGAATGAACAGTCGGCCAGTCTTAAGAAGCGAGGCTGGCATTGTCTCCCCTCTAGAGACCAGGAAACAGGCCCAGCAAGGTGACAGGAGATGGGCATTAAATTTAGGGATGAGTGCCGCCTTACAAAATGTGTAGGTATAATTTGTCGTTTTAACCATTGTCAGGTATCCAACCCAGCGGCGTTTGTCACACTGTCTCCAAAATGTTGTCACCACTCCAAACAGAAATGTTGCCTCCTTAATTGTTGGCCCCAGCTAACTTCCTGGGTGATGCAAAACCACGAAAAAGAAACACTAGATTCCTAGCCAGAAGGCTGGCGGTTCAAATCCACACAGCAGCACTGCAGAAGAAAAGGCCTGGTGATTTGCTTGCACTAAGATTGCTGGTCTTTAAAAAAAAATTTTCCCCCCATGGTCATCAAGTTGACTCCGGACTCATGGTGACCCTACGTGCCAAGAAATTCCCAGGAGCTGAGTTCTACTCGGTAAGACTTGGGGTCACCGGGAG